ACCTGAGCAAGTTCCCCAGCTCTGGGTCCACTCAGTCAAGAAAGCATATCCAACCTGCCCCACCTGCCACCAGACCACATGTTGGTCCATGACCTGCAGCACCCGTCTCCCTGAAGCCACATTCTGCAGGAAGGAGGAGCAGTAGCATCCCACCAGCTTTTAACAGCACAAGCGGTCCTTCCACTTAAGGGCCGCTCAGATTGAGAAACCAATTGCATTAGCGTGCTACAAGCCACTAGAGAGCTTTTTTGGCTGCAGAAAGGCTGCTTCATTATGGAGAGAAGCCAGAGGCGCAGCATGTTTGCAGTCTGGAAAGCCAGGTACATGAGACTTCTTGGATTGCTTCACCACACACCCTCAGGGAAGTTCTGGGAAGCTGGCAGAGGGCTACCTGGACAGCGAGGGACCTCGGGGTACAGAGGTTTGTGTCTTTAGTATGAACTAAGCAAGTGCCATCCCACCCAAGAGAGCTTTCTCCAGGAGGTAGCTGTTTGCTGCATGGTTGGGCACAGAATGTCTTCACACACAGCAGCAGATCAAGATAGTTTTAATGCATTGAGCTCTCCCCTCGCAAACGCCTCATACAGCAAACATTAGGATAAGAGTTGCCCCATTTGTACTCTACAGAACTCAAGCCACCAGAGAACCCAAGCCCTGAAGATGCCACATTGCTCCATGTAACTGAAACACAGGATCTATACGGGGCTTGTTGCAGCAGAAGTCCTTACACCTCTGGTGGCCCGAGACCATGTTCAAGACAGTCTCTCCCGCAGGGATATTCCAATGTAGCATCTCCTCAATCTCAAAAAAAGCTTCAAAAACCCCTTTCAACCTAAGTCCATCTTAGAAAGCAGCTATGTACAGGGATGCAAGGGGGAGACAGGGCAGGCAAGTCCAGCCTTCAGCTCTTCCAAGCTGAGCTTTCTAGGTGTCACCACCCCCACACAGCTCTGGTTAGCTCTGCACCAGAAACTGCCTCATGCAGTGGAAACACTGGTGACACTCACTGGTTCCGCACCTCCTCTGGCTAGTCAGACTCCTCCAAGACTACAGAGAGCATTCAGCAGTGTCTTCTAGCTTGGCTTTCCCACCAAAATCTCAATGAGCCTTTAAACATCAACACTTCACTGAGGAAGACACCAGGAATAAAGACACTGTCAGCATCTCCCTGAATGAAAGGAATGGAGCAGAGCCTCCCCGCGACAGGAACATCTTCTCCAGGAGCCAATTACACCAAGTCTGCAAGCACAGTGGATTAAGCAAACAAAAAAAATGAAGAAAGGAGAAATGACAGACAAAACCGCATCCAGTCAAAAAGATTCACACTAAGGAGCATCATATCAGCTTCTCCGTGCAGTCTCCCAGACCTTCCACTTAACCCTCCCCCTTCCCAATCCCACAGCTTAATTCAATTACCTACCACTGAATAAGCCTTAAGGCGATTCTCATTACCCTGCGATAAAGCACAAGGCCTTTAATTATTAAACACTCACAGGCTTTTTGTGTTGGGGTTGTGGGGCTGGACTCCCTTTTATTGTTGTTAGCAGCTTCCAGAAAGCAAGTTAATCATTGACCAGGCATTTCACCAGGAGACCAGAGTCCTATAGATTCCTGGTCTCTAGTTCTGCATCACCAGTCACACTAAAGAAAGTCACTGGCCTCCTCCTGCTTTGCCAAGTCTACACCTAATTCCCCTAATGAGGCATCTTCTCCCCCTAGGGAGTCACCTGCAGCACTGGTGACCCCTGCAAAAAACATTAAAAAATGCAATACTTGAACATAGGGACTGCACACAGTGCTCACCATTAAGTTGAGTTCAGAGAGAAACAGCCCCAATGCCTTTCCAAGTAAGGGAAACTGAGGCACAAAGTGGTGGTCCTCAAGTCTCAAGCAATGTGGTCAACCTAGTACATGAGTCCAAGCCTGACTAACCCTTGGCTATATGAAGTTTTGCTCCACCCAGCAAGCACTCTGCAGGTGGAAGGAGTTTTTGGGTACTTCCCAGCCTGATTTGGGACAGATACTGGTCCCCAGGGCTGAAGATGCAGCTCTGGTGGACCTTAGCCACGTGCACCATTATTTTTTTTTTTTCCTGGGTTTTTCACCATCCTTATGGCACTTCATTTCCAGTACCACCTACAAGCATCTACAAAGCAAACGCTTCTCCTGGGCATGGGGTTCCCCTTCACAAGCAAAGGGAGGTTAAACACTGCTGTCCATTGTCCCAGAGAGGCCAACTTTGGGAGTGAAACCAGTCAGGACTCAGATCAGTCTCAACATGGCAATTCACCCAGTTCAAAAGCAGCGGGGGGTGAGGGGGGAAGGTTGAAAAAACAAAAAAAAAAGCCAGGCACATCCTTCCTATTCCAAGGAGGAGCAGAAATCCAGCACGGTAAAAACCATCATTGCCATGTAGAAGAGGCAGAACACCGCAGGGTGGGATGGCAGAGCTGCCCTCCCAGCTCTAGGAGCCACCTTCTTACGCTCCAGCTGTGTTTGCCTGCGTTGCCGCATTCCTCCCTCACCACCCGAGTCCAGGTTTTGAGGTTTTTTTGGTGTGGGTTTTTTTTTTTCCGGGTTGTGCTGAGAACCAGCTGCTCCATCTCACACACGCCAGAGACGAGCGGTGCATCTGGAAAGCCAACACGCCGCAGCCCCGCTGTGCAACAGCTTCCCCGAGAAGTTTGCACGCCTTCAGCCGACGGGGCAAACACCGGCGTGCGGCCCCACACCACCATCAAGTGACAGGTATGGAAATTCTTGAGATGCAACAACCCTGTTAGCACCTAGCACGTCCCACAGGCTGGCAAAAAAAACCCCACACACAACCAAACCCAGCGGGTTGGCTTTTATTGGAGATGACATCCAAGCTGATGCCACACAGTTGTAGCGACAGCATTCAGAAACTCACACTAACTCTCAGAGCCCACTCCATCGGGGGCGGTCACAACCCCCGAATATCCCTCCAAGGGATTCTCCCCTCCCCCCCTGAGTAATTTGCTCAGAATTGCACCCTGACTCGCAGGGCGTATAGTATTTCTACCCCAGCAGCACCTAAGGCGTCACGGGGCACCTATTCCACACCTGCCCATGGGAATAAAAAAAAAAATATATAATGGCACTTCCCCCACCAGAATAAACCCTACCGTGCAGTAAGGAACCTGCTCTCGCTAGCGATGTGTCAGTAAATTAGGGCAAGCTATGCTTCCCCTCCCTCCCTCTCCCCCACACAAGCATTTGAGGGTTCCTGTTGCCTGCGTGCAGTGTACAGATCAGTTACGTTTATGAAGAACATTGCAATCTGTCAATATAAACACTATGTAAGCCTGAGCCGCCTGTAACATTACTACCGTCTTGACAAGCGTTTGCGGAGGGAGCAGAGCTGCTGGAAGAAAGCAGAGTAAACTCCGAACTGTAGAAGTCAACGCTTTTTCCAGCAAGAAAAAGAAAAAAAAAAATAAGAGGAGGGGGTGCATCAAAACCAAGTCAGGCTATAAATCAGAACGCCCAGGAAGAACGAGAAGGGGTTTGATTTATGACCAGGACAGGTTGAAACCTCGGAGCAGCTCGGGAAAGCAGCAAACTCCCGTGCAACTCCGTTTGCCGTCCCTGCTAGCGCCGGGGCACAGCGGGACTGAAGTTAATCACCCCCTGCCCGTCACCCCAGCGTGGCTAATCTTGTCATCTGCCACTTCCAAAGCCCAGCAGTGCAAGACCCAACACAACTCCCAGATGCCGCTACGGCATTTCCACCACCACCACCCCCCAAGTCACATTCGAGAGGGGAAGGGGAGGGACCCACACCCAGAGCTGGTCAGGCTCAAGAGGAGCGGAGAAGAAAGTGAAATGCAATGCTTTCTCAGGGATCCCGGCAATCTGGGGCTGCTCCAAGCTACTCCCCCCGCCATCAGCCAGTTGTAATACGGTGCGAATTAGTTTTCAGACAGCCCAGCTGCAGAGGAGACGGCGGAACATAAAAGCAGGCTAGCTTTTAGAACAGCCAGAGCATCTCAGCGAGCCGGGCTCAGCGGACGCTTCTCTCAAGGCAATGCTTCCCCCTCTGGTATAGGCTCACACAGGAACAGTCTCCCATACGTGCTCCGACCATAAAGCGCACCCGTCATCATCAAGCATCCCGAGGGGTGACTCTAAACCTACCGACCACAAGCCACCAGGTCCTGCTCGGTTCTGCAGCCACACTTGCTCCTCTCTAGCACTGAGAATCACAGAACGGTTTAGGTTGGAAGGGACCTCAAAGATCATTGACTTCCAACCCCCCTGCCATGGGCAGGAACATCTCCCACCAGACCAGGTTGTTCCAAGCCCTATCAAACCTGGCCTTGAACACCTCCAGGGATGGGGCCTCAACAACTTCTCTGGGCAACCTGGGCCAGTGCCTCACCACCCTTAAAGTGAAAAATTTCTTCTGAATATTTAATCTAAACCTACCCTCTTCCAGTTTAAAGCCATTCCCCCTCATCCTATCAAGAAGTCTCATATCAGACATGGTTTAGGAGCTGTAGCATCACCACATCCCCGAAACCAGCCTCTACCAGCTTCTTCCCAATAACTGGTGCTAACAGACCCCCCCCAAGCAGGTGCCTACAGGGACATGGCTCACTGCTACCCATCAGCATCCCTCCAGGTCCTGCCTTCGCCGTGTACCAGCTCCAGGTCCCGCTGGCACCTGCTCCTCTGCTGCACCAGAGAGGTCAGCAACACTCAGGCTGCCAGTGTGACTCTAGGAAAGGGACACACCTGTCCTTCCCTTCATCCTGGACAGTGAACTGTCACCTTCATGCAGCTTGGGGAAGAAGGAAGACAGCAGCAAGAGCCCCATTTGCACCGACGCTTTCTCTCACATACACCAAGCTCTGCTTCCAGAGGGCATTTATCATTTTCGGCCTCTTTTGCATCCCTCAGACCCCAGCGCCAGACATACAGAGAAGCAGCAGCCTCTGACCATCCTCGCCCCCCCCAACCCCAGCATCCCCTCCCGCTCACTGGCTGCCCCTGTGGGGCAGGCACAGACATAACTACATGCTGACACAATCTTGTTATCGTGTAACCGTGCCCAATTTCTGTCCCCGTGCACTAATTCCCCGCCAGGCCACGCATTCGGAGACGCCAAATTCTTTCCCCGAAATAAGACATTGGGGATGGGGTGGAAGGGATCATCCACAGCTGTCCCCGTCCCCCACCAAGACTGCGGAACAGAGCAGCTAAGCTGCAGCTACAGCATGACATCTGTTTAACACAGCCGCCTGCTGCGCTCTGCTCCCCACCACCACCTCCTCCAGGGAGGACAGCACCCAGGGCAGAGGGTCTAGCCGGCCACCAAAAAGCATCACGGTGGCTTTGATGATGCCTTGGACCTGGAAGGAGCATCCCTTCCCCTGCTTGGAACGGGCACTGCATTAACTGAGCTCACTTCAGTATTTCAGCTCAGCCCCCAAGCAGAGGGTGATGCATCCAGGTTTTTAGGAAATATTTCTATTCAAATAAACAGAGGTGCTTCCACACCAGGGAGCAGTTCCTCCATGCGTGTGGCAACCTTCCTAGGCACAGAGAGAAGGGCTAACACCAGCCTTCGCAGGGCACTTGCAGAGGCACCAAGAGCTCTGCGGGAACATACAGCTTTTACCAGGTAAGATTTCTTTCCTCATCAATAGCCAAGAAGCCGGCGGCAAGGAGGGCGGCTCAGCTTTTCCACTCACACTTGTTCATTCTCATATCACCGGGGATTAGTGAGGACCCTGGACCTCCCCACGGACTATTCCCGCGTGTCCCCCCGGCAGCTCAGCAAGTGCAATTTCTGCTTTAGGCCTCTCAGAAGAACAAAGAGGAGATTAGCAGCAGATGCTGCTCCTTTGCCACTGCTCTAAGCGGAGAGAGCGGGATGCTTTGCATAAGCAAAGCTCCACTGCACACCGCGGCAGCCCCGGAGCGCTTGGAGCACACATCTGGCTGGGTGCACATCTGGCAGCATCTCCTCTCCCCTCCTTATTGCCAGAGAAGGGAGCCTCAAATCAGAACCAGCAGACATACTGAGACAGAGGGAATAACCCAAAGCGCTCAGGACAGATGTAGCAGCACGCTTCCCTCAGCTCAACGCATTCGCTCCAAAGTTAAAAAAAAAATCTACACCACACAGGACCAAGAGAGAAATCCCAGAAGCAGGCGACTGGAATGAGTTACCTGCTGCACTACAGCAGATCCCAGCGCCGCCTGGATTAATAGGAGAGTTACAGCCAAACTCCTTACAAGCCCCGTCAGTCCCCAAGGCGCAGTACAACTGCACAGCGCCGGTGGTCTTCGGCAGCCGCACGAGCTAACGGGCTCGGTGCAGCCCTCGGTGCACTGCTGGGGGAGAAAAAGGGCTTTTCCTAAAAGCCTACGGCACACAGGACAGGCTGTTTCCTCCCCAAACCAGCCCCAGCAGCAGGAAGTTAAATGGTTCTTGAGTTGGAAACAGAAGATGTAAGTAGCACTGTTTGGAAAACTTTGCCAGACCACAAGCAATGGACAAGCCTCAACACCAGGATTTGTTTTACTGGAAAGAAGGGGAGGGATTGGAGGCGGGGGGGGGAACCTCAAGTCTGCTAAAACATTCTCCAGTGCCGGTGCAGTGGCTCCTACCAGCGGTCACAACACAACATCCCAAAAAGAAGCAAGAACCATCCCCTTTTGGGTAAACCCGCGGCAAACTCTCTTACTCAGGTGCCCGCATCCCACTCCCTTCGCAAACCAAACCCCGGGTTGGGGGCGAATCTTTAAAATAAAAAGAAACAGCTCCAATTGACACCCTAAAAAGCAAAGCGGGGGTGGGGGGCGCAGATGGGACACCGGCGGACCCTCCGCGGCAGCGGGCTGAAGCCTTGATGGGGGGGGCGGCGGTTGCGGAGGGTGGGAGGCTTTAAAGAGAGGAGGTGAGCGGATAATTTGGCTCCTCCAGCTCAGCCTTCCCCCTCGCCGATAAGGGGGG